GGCTGTTCCTCGCCTTTTTATGAGAGTGTGTGCTGCTGAGAGGCGACACTTACCTTTTTAAAAGTTGATTTATTGATTGATACCAGGGATCGAACTCACCGCCTCTGGCTTGCTTGTGCCGCTGAGCTATGTCCCCGGCCCAACACTTCCCTTTTATCATTGAGCTGTGAAAGCTCTTTATAAATTCTGGATAGAGTCCTCACCAGAGCGATGATCCGTCTGTATTTTTCCTAGTGTATTATCTTCTCACTTTCATGTTGGTAACCTTTCAAGTACAAAATTTTAACTTGCAGAGAAGTTCAGCTGAGCTCCCCTTTTCTGTGGTCCTGTTTCGTGTCCGTCTCAATCACTGCCAGCCGGGTGCTCACTGATTTCCGCCTGTTTTCCCCTAAGTGGCTCCTCCTTTGTCTGCATCCCTTTGGAGCTAACTCTGCACTGCAGGCAGGTGGGCGGCGGGGCCCAGCGTCTATTTTCCCATGAGCTGCTATCGCCCCGTCGCCCTTGGCTGGAAAGATCACCCTGCCCACCGAGTGCACTCAGCATCCTTGTCAGGATCAGCTGACTTTCCAATGTAAGGTCTGATCTGGATGCTGAACTCGGTCTCACTGGCCTCCCTGTCTGGGCTTTTGCTGGCCCCTTCCTTGGACCCTTTTCCCTGCATCATCTGCATCTGTCTGGGCGGCTGCAACCCAGACCCAGGCATCTCTGTGGGCTGGCAGGGCTCAGGGAGCTGTAGACCTGGCAGTGATGGCCAGGGACACTGTCCCTGTCCTTGCGTGGACATTGTCCTGAGAGGCACAGACAAGGATACAAATGAGAAAATCAAAGCCAAAGCAGCAGGGCATGCTGGGCATCCCAGCATTCTGGGAGGCTGAGGAAGGGGGATCTCAAGTTTGACCCCAGCCTGGGCAATTTAGCAAGATCCTGTCTGGGAATAAAAATAAAAATAAAATCAAAGGGCTGGGGACGGAGTTCAGCGTGCAGGTTCAATCCCCAGTACTGAGAAAAAACAGAAAAAGCAAGAAGAAGATGCCTTCAGGTAGAGACTGGTGAGAGCTGTGCCAGGGCTGCAGGCTCTGGTTCTCACGCCCTTTCCCAGGGACCCCACACACCCCGTGTGCCAGGGCTGATTCGCGTCACACGCCTGCCCCCTGCCGGCCAGTGGGCAGGGTGAGTGGCTCTGTACCCCCCCCCCCCACGTTATGACTGTGATTATTATTTGCAGTGCTGATGCGCAAGCCCGGGGTCATCTTCAGCGAGCTGCATCCCGCCCCTTTTATGTTTTTATTTTGAGACAAAGCTCTGGCTAAGTTGCCCGGGTGGCCTCAAACTTGTGACCCTCCTGCCTCAGCCGCGGGAGTAGCTGGCATCAAAGATGCGCCACTGCGCCCGCCTTCCTCCCCCAATTCTTGACGTGGTGCGTAGAACACAGAAGTTTCACATATTTTGATTTCTCTTCTAAAGAAATAGGAACGTAATTGGATTGCTGTTTATGTGGCTCCCAAGTGAAGCGAGTTTTCACACAGTATTTTTAGCTGCTGGTTTTTTTTTTCCTGCCTCAGCTGGGCGAATTGACAGCAGAGTTCTCAGACCAAACTTTCACGGACTTTGTCCGGCAGGGGGAGACCTCGGCAAGGAAGAGGAAGAGCCCGTCTGGCCTGGGCTGGAGCAAAGTGCCTCACTGACTGCATGGTGAACCCCACCTTTCTCCAGCAACTTCATACGATGATGACGAGGTGGTGCCTTCGGGGGTTTAAATAAGAGTCCGACAGGAAGATACACAGTCCCGGCTTCTGCCCCTCCAGATCCCCGCTCCCCCCCTGCAGGGTGGCGCTGGACGGGGTGCCCTGAGGGCTGTTTGTTCCTAGTGTCTCCAAGAATGTCCACACCGCGTGCACCGGGTGATAGGGAAATACTGTGGGTGTCTAAATTAAAAACTATTATGGAAAAGACGTTGCCATTGATACAGAATCCTTCCCTGGCCTGGAACACACCCCCATCTTCTGGTTGCTTTCTGAAGCAGCTCTAGGGGTCCTCTTGTGTGTCTACGAGGTGTAACCAAAAAGTACAATGACAAGCCGGGTGTGGTGTCACACAGGGATGGATATTTATACAAAATGCTAGCCGGGGGTGGTGGTGCGGGCCTGTAATCCTGGCACTGTGGAGGCTGAGGCAGGAGGATTGCTGTGAGTTTGAGGCCAGCCTGGGCTACAAAGTGAGTTTAAGGTCAGCTTAACTACAGAGTGAAACTGTGTCTCAAAAAGACAAAAAAAAAATTGGAAAAAAGACAAAAACAAAACAGTGCAGTGTTGCAGCTGCCCAGCACCGCCCAGCGGAATGGCTGGCTTAGACACACACGGGGCTGCATTCCTGTTCCCTGGTCACAAACACGGTGTGGGTGGCACCCTTGTCCCCTGCAGCTGGCACCACGACACTTGTAGCTCTTCCCCAAAGTCCCAAAATGACCACGAAGGGGAACGGTCTCGAATCACTTCAAGACACAGAGGCAGGCACCAGAGCACCACCTGAAGAGGACACACGGGCCTTGCACAGGGGCAGAGGGGCTGTGGGGCTCAGGATCGTTACGGTTCCTCCAGTGCCCCACTGATGGGCACTCAGGTTATTCCTCGCCTTCTGCTATAGACATAAAGGACAAGTGACCTTGGGTGGATTTTTGCCTGCATGAAGGGAGAATCCTGGAGCTCAAAACAGAGCACCTGGCTTCCCTGGGCTGGCCAGGCACCTGCCAGGGACCTGGCTGCAGACACAGAGGTTTGAAAATTTGCCAAAAGGCCTCCACACAGCAGGTGTCAGCACACCCGAGACACTGGTGCCGCCTTGCCCAGTGATGGTGACGCTTTTAGAGCCTTCAATGAGAGACAGCCCAGTGCAGGCTGCCTGCGGTGGTTCAGCACCGGTGAGGTAGCCTCGCCTGCAAAGGACACCAGTCCAAACTTCTGGCTTCCTGCAACCTGCTATGTTATTAGTATTATTATCATTTGGTATCCGGAACCGAACCCAGGACCTCGCACTTGCCAGGCAGGCACGGATGCCACTGAGCTACATCCCCGGCTCCCGCCTGCTACACTATTCTCATTCTCTTTATTTTGCCATGTCCGTCTTGCTTTAGCTCTTCTTGAGGATGAGCGTGGGCATCTTCTCTCGCGTCTCAAGCCTTCTGATCCGCCTGGTCACATCTGCCCTGGTTCTTTGGAGTGGCTGTCCTCTCCCTGTGCCATCCACACGGATTCCTTCTGATCTGAGTGGCAAGCACTTTCATGGCTGCGGCCTTTCTTTCTGTGGCCCGTAACTGGTGGTGATGTTTCTCTTTGAAGCAGGGTTCAGACTTACTCTGAACTTTTTATGGCTTCTGGCTGGAAAGAAATCTCCTGTTCCAGGCTCACCAAGGGAACTGCCCAGGCCACCGACGCCTTCTTTTTCCTCTTCCTCTCCTTCTCCCGCTCCTCTTCCTCCTTCTTCTTGTCGCTATGCAGTCCAGGCTGGCCTTGAGCTCACCTTGTAGCCCAGGCTTGTCCGGAACTCACAACGACCCTCCTGCCTCAGCCTCACCCAGCGCCCAGGTCTTCTGACACTTTGGGCGTCCATCTCTGCTCCTTTTCCAAGCCAGCCTGCGCAGGGCGGTGGAGAATGAATTGTCTCCATGTTCTCCGTCCCGGTTTTCCCTAACCTTTACGCAGGCGGACAGAAGGGAAGCACCTGGCTGCCTCAGGCAGCAGTCTCTTCTCTTTGCTCATTTATTTACAGCAACAGCAGCTCCTGCTCTGTAATCACGGCCCTTCCGCCACCCCTCGCACGCTGCCTCGCACGCGTGGCCACATTGGCTTCCTTTTGTTTTTGCTTGGCAAGAATTTTAAAATGTATTACACATCCCAGCTCACCCTTTGGCTTTGCACTCAGGATTTATTTCAATTAGTAACCAAGAGCAGCCTTTCCTGGGTGTTTAATCTGTGTTTACGAGTGTTACTTCAATTACACCTCAAGCAGCAGTGACACTCTGGCACCTTCCCATTTGAGGAAAGCGGTCTCAGGCTTGTCCAGGGCTGGAGCTGACTGTGACAGCCCTGGGTGCCAGCCCTGAGCTGCACCCTGCGGTCGGTCGAAGCTTGCAATGCCTGGAAGGCAGAGGGGCCAGGGGAGGGCGAGGGAGTGGGGAGGACCGTGGGGAAGACCTGAGTCAGCTGGGGGGGGGACCGGCGTGCAAATGACCCAGCAGAGTAAACAGGGCGCCCACCAGCGTTGGAAGCTGCCCACTCTCTCCCCTTCCTATTCAGAGCGCTCCATTCCTTACACACACACACACACACACACACACCCCACTCCACAGGACTCCACGCGGAGTGAGGGCATGGCCAGCGGTGTCCTCGGTCCACTGTATTAGCTCATCCGTTGGGAGGTCCCCGAGCTCGGTCAGCGGCCAGGGCAGGGGGGGAGGGCTGAGAAGGGGGAGATGGGGGGCAGGGGAGGGGGAAGCAGGAAAAAGGAAGGGAAAGGGAGGAAGGGGGAGGTGAGGCGCGGGGGGGGGGAGGGGCGAGGGGAGGGAGAAGTGGGGGAAGGGGGCACGCGAGGAAGAGGGGATAAGGAACCGGGAGAAGGTGGAAAGAGATGGTTGGGAGTGGGCAAAGGAGTCCACGGAGAGGGAGAACCTGGGCGGGGGTGGGAGCAGAGGCTGGAAGGGGAGGAAAGCGGGGAAGAGGAGGGGGGAACAGAAAGAGGGCGATGGGGAGGGGGATGGGGACGCCAGCGAGGAGAGTGTGCACAGGCGGGAGGCGTGAAGGGGGCGGGGAAACCCGACTCCGCCCTCTGCACGGAGTTGCGCAACCATCCCGACCGGGATTGGCGACCAGAGAGTAAAGACGCCCCGCCCCTGAGACTGCAGACCAATGCCGATGGAGGGCGGGGCGAGCTGTGACACGCGCGGCCAATGGCGGCGGGGGGACGGGGCGGGCCGCGGCCTGGGGTTCCCGCGCGCTCCCGCCCTCAGTCAGAGCCGCCGCCGCCGCCGTAGCGCTCGGAGCTCGCGCTGCCCGCGTCGCCGTCGCCGCCGCCGCCGCCGCCGCCGCCGCCGCCGCCCTTGGCGCGTCCCCGCCGCGCTCCGTCTCCGCAGCCGGCCCGGGGCGCGCTCGCCGCTCGGGGCAGAGTCCCCGGCCATGGCCACCAGGATTGACAAGGAGGCGTGCCGCGAGGCGTACAACCGGGTGCGCGACGACGGCTCGGCGGTCATCTGGTGAGGAGCGACCCCACCGCGCCCCTCCGCGCTCGGGCCGTGTGTCCTCCCGCGCTCACGCGTGTCTCTTCTTCTCTCCGCCCAAAGGGTGACTTTCAGATACGACGGCGCCACCATCGTCCCCGGCGAGCAGGGCGCGGAGTACCAGCACTTCATCCAGCAGTGCACGGGTAGGAGCTGCGCGGCCGTCACCGGGTGCCCTTCCGGGTCAGAACCCCGGGCCTGGCCGGGCCGGCAGCGGTGACCTGGGTCCGGGAGGGCCACCCTTGTGCCCGCGGTCACCGCTTTTCAGGGTCCGCTCCCACAGTCAGTGCCAGGCCCTGCCCGCAGCGCTGAGATGGTCCCGGAGCCCACCTCCACCCGCGCCGGGGGCTGCTAGTGGAGAAGGCACCGCGCAGCTCCACCCTCCTTCCGCAGGCAGTCCTTGTCCGGGTGCTGATCAGGTACTCGTGTTTGGAAGGATACAGAGCTAGACACAAAAGGTCGCGTGCCCTCGGATTTGATTCCCGTGAAATTCTAGGGACTGTAATGCGGCTCTCTAGCGTGAAAAGTCAGAGGAGCTGGCGCCTCGGGGGAGGTAGTCGCTGGCAAGGCTGGGGTGCAGAAGGCAGCTGGGAGTGTCGGCAGGTTTGATCTGGCCGGGCCACACAGGTGTGCTCCCAAGTCGGAGATCTCTGGATCCTGTACTTAAGATAGTGTGCGCATTACACGCCCTGTGCTGTGTGGCTGTGAGAAGCAAGGTCCTGGGGTAGCCATGAGCCGGGAACCCCTCAACCCCGAGCGGAGGGGGCTGCTGAAGACAAAGGCAGCCTGCCTGGAGGTTAGGGCGCGGGCTGTGCGCCGCTCGGGTGGGTTTGAGCCCCAGAGCCGCCTTCTCCTACCTGTGTGGGTAGGGAGAAGTCACCGTCTCTGGGGGCCTTGGTTTCATAGCCTGGACCTCACGGTGCTGTCTTGAGATCGAGTCACTGTGCACACGCCTGTGCCTGTGACAGGCTGCTGAAACAAAGTGCAGAATTCTGCCTGGGCCCGCAGGACTGCTTTCCCGACCAAATCATCTTTTGCATTTTGTTCAATTGGAAGGGCTCCTATGTGCTGGGTTGTACAAAGATTCATGCACACGTGTGTGTGTGTGTGTGTGTGTGTGTGTGTGTGTATGCCTGTGTAAATGTTCTCCTAACTAAAATCTCCCCTGGAGAGTTGCTTCTAGACATTCATTCATCGCATTTGTAAATAATTCACTTAAGATACTGGAATCGCAAAGCGCCGGGCAGCTCCCCCTGGAGAGGCGCTGGGGCGGTGTGGAAGGTCTGGTCTGGGAGGGACTGGTGTGTGGGCCTCTGGCCCAGCGGCGTGGAGGTCGGGGCGCTGTCTCCTCCATCTCTGCCGTGGGTGCTTTCGCAAGCACCCCATGCAGTGCACTCCGCTTTCCGGATCCTGCGTGCAGGAGACTCAGCAGTATTTCGCTGGCCGCTGCTTCCCGGGTGGCCCTCCTCCCGCTGCGCCCTCCGCCCCGCCCCACCCCAGCAGGCGCCGTGCTCTGCCTCTGAGGCCATTGTTTGTCCCCCAGTGGGAGAAGGTGACAGAGGAAGAGCGCATCCTGCCTTTGACCTCCAGCAGATGCTGCCAGCCATTGGCGGTGGCCAGAGACCACTTCCTCCCTGGAGCCCCTGTGGCTGTGAGCTCCACACAGAGCTAAGACGCTTCCCTACTGCTGCGGAGTCTGGCGAATGTGCCGTGGGCTCCCGCTCCAGCTGCAGCTGAAGCCCGATTGCTTCCCCAGCCATCTGGTGGGAGGCAGAGTTCTGCTTGCTGTCTGCTTTGTTCCTCTCGGAAGAGGCTGTTCCTAGCCCTGCTGTGTCCCATAACCCAGCCATCACGGCCTCGCACTGTGGCTAGGAGCTTCTTCCTGTGCTCGCTCTCTCCGTCAGCTCTGTGGGGCAGGAATGAAATCGTTCCCCTTCTCCAGGTGTGGAAACTGAGGCCCAGAGAAGTTGAGGGGCTTTCCTGCGGTCACATAGCTGGCAAGAGGCAGGGCCTAGTCCTGAGCCCAGGCAGTTGGCTTGGGGCCGTGTTCTTGGCCCCTGAAGAAGTGGTTTGGGCTGCCCTGCCGCCTGCAGGGTCGTTTGCAGACTGTGAGTAACATGTTTGCTCACCGATGATGCGGGCAGGGCCCCAGGGGCCCCCGGGACCAGAACGTCTTGTTAGGTCTGCAACCGAAGGCTGTCTGGGCCGCATCTGGCCTCCTCCTCCCGGAACCAGTGGGGCATCCTGGGCTCCCAGGGACCCCAGCTCCAGAGCCTTCCCTCGGAAGGGCCGGCTCTCACCTCCCTGAGTGCTCCCCCCCACCCCCATCCTCAGCCCTGGTTCTGAGAGGGTCTCCTTAGGCTGCTGTGTGTCCCGGGCGGGTTCTGGCTCCCCCGAGTGAGTGCTGGGATCCCAGGAGTGTGCCACCTCGCCCACCCGCCTGCCTGCCGGCTTTCTCTGTCCTCTCCTGTCCCTCTGGCTGTCTCCTTTCTCTTGTCCCTTTGCCCAGGCTGGCTTCTGCCAGCACCTCCTCCTGTTCCTGTCTGTGCAGGCCTCTGCCTGCCCCGCTCTTCCCTTTGCTGGGCCTGCCCGGCTCCTTCCTTCCTTGCTGACCGGGAGACCATGGTCTCCTCAGCTTTGTCTCGGCTCAGGGCCACCGGGGGCCTTTGGAGTGCAGGGGGAGGAGCCCCGAGCAGGTTCCTAGAGTCAGAGACTCTGTGTGTGGCTGGTGAGGCCGCTGTCCCCAGGGCTCTGCTCCTCTGTTCCCTTCCTGGAGGGCTGTCTTCCAGCGGTGACTGAGATGGCCACCAGCCTCCGAACATTCTGTTGAAGGAGACAGGCGGCTTCTTTGCTTGGGATTTCAGGGGTCCCTGAACCACCCTGTGGGGTTGAGGTCCTGTGCCAGCCCCTGGAGCAATGCTAGGACTGTGTTGTCTGCATCTGGGGCCCATGCCAGCTCCAGAGCGGGCACAGAGTGGGGAGAAGTGCTTCTGAGAGAGGGGTGGACCCCAGTGATCCCCCGCATCTTTAACCCTGGGCTTCCTTGTCATGTGTCCCTCTGCTCGGATCAGGCTCTGTGTGGCAAACTGTGGGTCCCTGCTTCTCCCCACACCCACAGGCGGCGAGGTCGCCCTCCCACCTGTCTGCCAACTGCACACACCTGGCCTTGCAGGCCGTCTGCATGGATTTCCTCCTCCCCACCCTCGCCTTCTGTCACCTGCCTGACCCTGGGATCAGGTTCGCATCCCACAACAGCCTCTCTCTTGCTCTCGTGTGTGGCGGGGCAGGGGCACCCCGCGCCCTGGCTGGCAGCTGCAGTGGAGGGAGACCGGGAGGGCTGCGTGGTCACTCCTTAGCACACGTGTTTCTGTGCACTGAGCAGTGGTATTGATGGGACCGCCTGTGCCTTCGTGGTGCTGTGTGACTGTGCTTTCTGTGCACCCCTGACCTCAGGCTGGCTGGTGACTGTGTGGCCCCAGGCCTGCCTCACAGTTGCTCGGTCCCTGGTGACAGGTGCTCAGCCCAGCGGGAGGCCTGGGTGGCGTCGGTGGCCCAGCTCAGAGCCTGGCCGTCAGGTGTTCTGAGTCCCCAACCCCCAAGGACCTTATGCTGCTGAGGGCTCCGTAGGACCGTTGAGGCAGGGCCACAGGCGCCTGTCGCCATGGCTGTGGTTTTGTCTGTGGATCCGAGTGCGGTGATGCAGAAGCAGGACCTGTGGTCCCAGCCCCGTGAGTGGGAGGCGAGGAGAGGGTGGGCAGGGAAGGAGCTGCCCAGCTGCAGCACCCAGGGCTGCCCACCGGAGCCGGGGAGCTGGCGGAGGGCGAGGGGTCTTGCCAGAGGCTGCCTACGGGACGGCACCTGCAGCCGGCTGTGCAGGAAGAAGGTGGAACCCGGGGTGGGGGGCAGCGCCCGCCCCCCTTAGAAGCCCACTGATTCACTCACTCGGTAGCTCTGCTGCCTGCCGTCTCCCTGTTTTGAGGGGCCTGATTCTGAGGGTGGGACCAGCGCCTTTGCATTGAGCTCACCCCCAGTCTCTCTGTGTAAGTGTTATTTTGAGATGTGTCTCTCTAAGGCCCTGAGTAGCCCAGGCCGGGACAAAGCCTCCATCCTCCTGCCTCAGCCTCCCAGAGTGCTGGGACGTCAGACGCCCACCTCTGTGTTGGTCTTTGAGCTTTCCTTGTTGGTCCTGTGGGGCTGTGTCCCAGACACTGGGGGTAAACAGAGGCGGAGGCGCCCCCTCCCTGGGGAGTCGGTGCTGTGCCCTCTGCCCAGCACGGGCCTCTGTCCCCTGCCTTATCCATATTTGTGGATACTTTTTTGGGTGTATTTTTTGGTACAGTTGCCCAGGAGCCGTGTTGGAACCGGCAGCTCCTCCCCCATCTTGAGCTTCTGAGCTGCCCCCCCACCAGCCTCTTCACAATGGCCACACAATGCTCACTGCTGTCAGTGTGGCTTTGTTAACCCAGCTCTGTGAATGGACCCCAGAGCGCCCTGTTGCCAACAGTTTTTAGTTCTTTGTGGGTTTTTTTTTTTGCCACAGGGCCCCATTCTGTAGTGCAGGCTGGCCTTGAACTTGCAGTGATCCTCCTGCCTCAGCCTCCCAGGTTCTCCCAGCTGCAAGCAGTTTTATTTTGGAAAGGATCCGGTAGGCTGAGGTTGAATCCTGTTTTCTGGTGTGGGTTTTGGAGCAGCTGGTGAAGAGCCCTGGCCAAGGAGCTGAGCATCCTGCCGTGCTGTGCCTATGACCTTGGACTGTGGGTCTCCTGGGCTTGGCTGCTGCCCTAAGGTGGGGAGAGCCAGTGTAGGCCAGGCACGGGCGCTGAGAGGGCCGGCTTCAGCGGTTCCCGTCTACAGACGCTTGCTGGGGGGATTCGGGAGAAGGGGACGTGCCCTGTGTCATAGGAGAGCAGGACCCGTGCTCCAGTGTGTATAGTGGTCCCCAGAATGGCTTGTGCTGGTGAGCGTAGCTTGGGTGGCCTTGTGATGATGGCTGGAGGCTGAGGCCAGGTGATACTCCCATGATGCTCTGGGCCACCCTGAGCATCCCTCACCGAGAGGTTGTGGGCTAAGGCTGTGGGTGCCCAGCACCCGCCTTTGGAGCTCCAAGTGGCTATGTAATCCTGCTCAGCTGACCCCGCCCAGGCAG